TGCAGCGAGGTCACCGCCCTGTATTACCTGCCGCTTGCCAATCTTCGCGTGGCTGGTGCTGAGTTCGGAGGGACCGTTTGCAAACAGAGAACTTTGCACCCGGAGCTAAGATTCAATTAATCAGGAAACTCACTTTGTTTTGGGTGGAAGCAGTTTGTAAAAAAACAGCTCATCCATTCAGAGAATAGGAACAACACTGCTAGACTCAGGTGACCGATCACAAAGCTTGCCTGGCTCTTGTCCCTACTGTACAGGTATCCACCTCACAAAATGCACCCCGCAGTTGGTACCGATTGGCCCCGTTTGCCCACAGTCTTAGTAAAGAGGCCAAGGACTGAATGGGTCATAGAGACGGAACTCCCCCCGGAGCCGTAGAAGGGGTCCCTCCAGCGCAGGGCTGGCTGGGCAGGGGGCGTGGGAAGCCGTCTTTGCTCTGTGGTGACACAGAGATAGGCATTGCTGTGAGCACCACCAAACTCATTGCACTTGTGACTGAAACCAGAGAGAGGCCCAGCTCCCAGCACTGAGGCTAATGACCCCACTAGCTGCCTGCGAGTCAAATCCCCTGGTCGTAAGGCGGAGTGAGCCGTCTGCCCTGGCAGCGGCCGTGCCCTGCGCTCCCTCGGGGTGGGTCCCAGGTCTGCCCACATCACTGAACGTGCCGTTCGGGTGTCTCACTGTTCTAATCCCCCGGGCTGGGTGTCCTCTTATGGGCCGGCTGCTTCCCTTTCCCCTCGCTCGTCGCCCAGGCCTGCAAACTGAGCCCATCTCTGCCTTTCTCCTGGGAGCCAGTCCAGCCCCACGGATTATAAATAACCGACAGGTTTATAGCAGCCTCCTTCCCCTTACATGGCCCGACCCAAACAGCATTGCACAGAGGCCTGGTGCCCACGCAGGGAAGCGAATTGTTTATCTTCCTTCTTACCCAGCGAGCCAATGGGGCCAGGAGACGGGACAGTTACAGCTGGGCTCTCTCCCGGGGGGCGGGGCAAGCCCCCCTCTCATCACTGCACAGCTCCTGTGGTCCCTCGACTTAGCTCTTTGGTGCTGCTTCCCGCAGTCCCAGATCAGCCCAGAGCTCAGCTGGGGCTGGGGCTGTGTCCTCCTTAGGACCACGTGTGGAATTAACCCTGATTCTTATACCCCAGGGGCTGGTTACAGCCAGCATGGCTGGATCTTGGGGATCCAGATGCTCAGACACTGGCTTACTGAGAATCATCTGTCTGTGGGGTGTGGGAGGGGGCCTGGTGGAAGAGATATTTGGCTGGCTGAGACCTCCTATGGGAGCCAGGCCCCTGGGGCAAAGCAAGGCGAAGACCTGGGTTGGCTCAAAGGTCCCTCTCTGGAAGGGGCCAAATCCAAGTAGCCTGTGAGAAAGGTGGGATTTGAAGCGGGTTTCCAGCCCTCCCCCCCACCAGCCCCCGCTCATGGGGATGTTCTTGTGTCGGGGGTTTTGGCCATTCTGGTCGGATCTCGGTTTCCAGCTGGGAGCCATTGCCGTGACATCTTAATCCACCCTATTAAGCGTTGGCGGGGGGAGGAGGGGGGAGGGAAAGATGCCCAGTGTATCAGCTGAAAAGAGACTTGGGGGTTCTCCTGGGAGCCCCAACTCCTTGCTTTACTGATCCCTGCTGCTTCATCGCAACTGGCAAGGGGCGCATCTCGCAGGAGAGAAACTCTCAGCACCCACAAAATTGCTGATGCTGGTGGGGGGGACGGGACACAGGAGTCAGGGGTGAAAGACTCACCTGCCAGTGGTGAACGGTCACAGGGGAGCGGTGGGGGTGTGGTGGGGGAGGGGATCCCACCAAGGGAATTCAGACTAGTTAGCCAGGCTGCTCCCCCCCACCCTCCCCGGCTGCGTCCAAGCGTGGAGTTGGGGGCTCTCTGCAGAGGGTGGGGGCAGCGTTACAGCCATTTGCAGCTCCTGGCGCCCCGGCCGCTCCCCTGGGTGAATCGGGTGGGGTTTGACCTTCCCGTGTCCCAGCCATTCGAACAGCTGAGGTGAAGAGCTCGGAAATAGACTGGAGGGGAAGGAGTGAGTCACCCGCTCTGGGAATAACCTTTTCGACAGGGCAAGGCAGGAGAGATGGAGGGCAGCAAGTTGCCAACGCCACCCACGGGTGCCCTGGCTGCAGCCACCTGAGACTGTCTGATCAGAGAGAGCCCCCCCGCCCCCAGTGAGCCACTCCCAGGCACCCCTGAGAGGCAGAGCATGGCCAGAGATGCGGGGACAGCGCCTGGGGCAGAAGGTTATGACTCAGGGATGGTACCTGGGGCATCTGAAATCTGAGCCGGGGGATCAGCTCAACACCCCTCCTCCTGGCATCGTAGGGATGCCCTGGAACCATCCCTGCACTGATGTCTAGAGCCCAGAGGAGAGCGCTGAGCCAGCCGCTCCGCCCGAGGGCACCATGGTGGGCTGAATTCGAGGCCAGCTTGCACTACGACGGCCCTCAAGTGGCTTCTCTCCAATGGGAGAGTTCAACCCTTGCCTGGAGCCTGCTGCTGCCTGGCCTTGTTCTCTGGTTGTGTTTGTGTGTGGTGTGAGCGTGCGTGTGCAGGGG